GTGATGGCCGCGCCGCGGCGTGTCCCTGCCTCTCCGGACACCGCTCACCGAGCGCGTCCCCTCCTGCCCCAGCCCCAGGAGGAGGTCCCTGCTCAGCCCGGCCGGGCTCCTGCTGGGCTCGGGGATCCCGGGCTCACCGGCCCCGGGGCTTGTACCGGCAGCTCCCAGAAGCGCCCCGCTCCCACGGCTGCCCGGGATTCCCCAGGGACGCTGCCGAGGGGTCCCGGCAGCGCGGGGAGACGAGCCCCGGTGTTCCCAGAGCCCCGGTGCGGCAGGGGAGATTCTGTCATCGAAGGAAAGAAGCGGCCGGGCTGTGGTTGCTGCCATCAGTGAGGTCCCTCTTCCCGGCGCGGGGGTGCCTGGTGCTACTCCTGTCGCCGCAGTCCCCCCCTCATATCGCTAAGGGCCCCCCCGCGCTGCCGCTGGGACAGGAGTGATGACAGGAGGGTGAGGAGGGGGGAATGGCTGTCACCCCTCTGCTGGTGCGTGAGCCGATGCGGGCTGGAGGTATTTAAGAAACGTGTAGACGTGGCACTTCAGGGCACGCTCTAGTGCCCGATATTATTGGTTTGTGGGTGGGTGTGATGTGGCAGGGTGTTGTGCTTTGATTGGTTTTTTTGTTGTTTTTTTGTGGTGTGTTTTGTTTGGTTGGTTGGTTTTTGTCTTTGTTGTTTGTTTTTTTAAAGTTGGACTCGATGATCTCAGAGGTCACTTCCCACCAGGGTGATTCTGTGATCAGCCTCCAGCCGGCAACGGGTTCGATGGCGTCGGGGGCGTGTCCATGCAGATGAGAGCCAGCCCGCCGCGCATGACGGGAGCCCGTCCCGACGGGCCGGCGGCGGTTGCGGGGGCAGGCGGGCGGTGCGGGGGTCGCAGGCGGCGAGTGCGGGCGGGGGGCGGGAGGCGGTTTGGGCGCGTGCGTGTTTGTGGGGGGCGTGTGTTGGTGTCCGTGCGTTGTGTGTGTGTGCGTGCGTTTGTGGTGTTGTGCGTGGGGGTGTGTGTGCATACTTACCTGGCAGGGGAGACACCATGATCAGGCAGGTGGTTTTCCCAGGGCGAGGCTCATCCCCTGCACTCCGGGTGTGCTGACCCCTGCGATTTCCCCAAATGCGGGAAACTCGACTGCATAATTTGTGGTAGTGGGGGACTGCGTTCGCGCTCTCCCCTGGTCAGCGTGGTTTAATGATAGATGGATACTACAACTGTTTTCTGTCATTCACTGCCCCGTATTCTCAGCTTGTGATCCCCCGCTGTCGGTTCATGGCCCACGCTGCGGTAGCGGCTCTCTGTGTCACCGCCTCGCCCCTGCGGTCGCCGCCCTCGGCCTCCCCCACCGGCTGAGCAGCAGGACGGGCACCGGCGCTGTTGGGAGGCCCCGGGCTGAACGGGAGCGGGATACCCACTCTCCCCGGGGGAAGGGACACTGCGAGGGGCGCGGGAAGAGGAGACTGTAATGTCCCGGGGGGTAAGGGCCTGTGACCCCCCCGAGAGGGCAGGAGGGCGGCGAGTGACGCGTTCCCCTTCCTGGTGCGGCCCTGGGCACCCCGCAGCCCTGGCTGCCAAAACGCGGACCCCTGCTCGGGATGGCCAGGGCCGGGCGGAGTTTCTGTGCTTCGAGGGGCTGCGGGTCAGGGACCGTTGGCACAACCCGGAGGGGGATTTTTCAATCCCTGGATGAGACGGGTCAGCGTCACGCATCTTCGGGGGGACGGGCGGGAACACACCAGGTGGGGCAGGAACTTCCCCCTGCGGCAGCGGGACCCACCCGGGCGGGGGCTGTGCCCCAAAGGCCGGCGCCTCCCGACACGCAGAGGGGACGGGGACCTTCCCTGGCTCCTGGGTACCACCGCCCCACGGCGGGACAATGTCCCCGTGGGTCTCCCCCGGCCACCGGCTCTACGGCCAAAGCGCGGCCGGCAACCAGCCCGGCTGTGCTCGGCGCCAAACCCGCGGGGTTGGCCCGGGGGGGGGGTGTGTCCTTGGTCACTTGGGGCTTCCCCTTTGGACACAGGCCCTCAACGCCCAGGAGAGACAGCGGGTCCTGCTGGAGCGGGTGCTCGGACCCGTGAAGTGAGGTTCTGGGATTCTGAGTGTGAAACCTGCGTGGAAACCGCAAATCAAATGGGCAAATCATCCCAGGCACGAGCTGCGCCAGAACACCGGGAAACCAAGAGAACCGGAAGAGTTGTTTCTATCATTAAACCATGCTAACCAGGGGAGAGCGCGAACGCAGTCCCCCACTACCACAAATTATGCAGTCGAGTTTCCCGCATTTGGGGAAATCGCAGGGGTCAGCACACCCGGAGTGCAGGGGATGAGCCTCGCCCTGGGAAAACCACCTGCCTGATCATGGTGTCTCCCCTGCCAGGTAAGTATGCACACACACCCCCACGCACAACACCACAAACGCACGCACACACACACAAC